CTGGTTTGATCTCTTTGCTTCAAGGGACTCTCAACAGCCTTCTCCAGCACCACAGTTTGAAAGCGTCAGTTCTTTGGTGCTAAGCCTTATGGTCTAACTCTCACATCCATACATGACTACTGGAAAAACCATAGCTTTGATTATGTGTACCTTTGTTGGCAAAGTGGTATCTCTGCTTTTAATACACTGTCTAGGTTTGTCATAGCTTTCCTTCCAAGGAGCAGGTGTCTTTTAATTTCATGGCTGCAGTCATTGTTCACAGTGATTTTGGAGCCCAGGGAAAGAAAATCTGCCACTGTTTCCATTATTTCCCCATCTATTTGCCATAAAGTGATGGGACCAGATGCCGTGGTCTTTGTTTTCTGAATGTTGAGTTTCAACCCAGCTTTTTCACTTTTCTCTTTCACCTGCATCAAGAGGCTCTTTAGTTCCTCTTCACTTACTGCCATTAGAGTGATATCATCTGCATATCTGAGGTTGTTGATATTTCTCCCAGCAATCTTGATTCCAGTTTGTGATTCATCTAGCTTGGCATTTTGAATAATGTACTCTGCACAAAAGTTAAATAAGCAGGGTGACAGTATACAGCTTGACATAATCCTTTTCCAATTTTGAACCAGTCCATTGTCCATTTCCAGTTCTAACAGTTGCTTCTTGACCCTTAAACAGGTTTCTCAGAAGACATGTATGATGGTCTTATATGCCCATATCTTTAAGAATTTTCCAGTTTGTTGTGATCCACACACTCAGAGGCTTTAGCAGAAGTAGATATTTTTCTAGAATTCCCTTGCTTTCTCCATGATCCAATGAATGTTGGCAATTTGATCTCTGGTTCCTCTGCTTCTTCGAAACCCAGCTTGTATATCTGGAAGTTCTTGATTTACATTCTGGGCAAGTTTAGCTTGGAGAATTTTGAGCATAAACTTGATAGCATGTGGAAAAAGTGCAGTTGTACAGTAGTGCAAACATTCTTTGGCATTGCCCTTCTTTGGGATTGGAATGAAAACTGATTCCCTTCATGGGTCACAGCTTTCTTGTGGCAAAGGAGCTTGTGTAATTCAATGAAGCAATGAGCCATGCCATGCAGGGACACAAGACAGATGGGTTATAGTGAAGAGTTCTGACAAAACGTGGTCCACTGGAGGAGGAAATGGTGAACCACTCCAACATTGTTGCCTCAAGAACCCCAGAGACAGTATGAAAAGGCAAAAAGATATGACACTGGAAGATGAGCCCCCCAGGTTGGAAGGTGTCCATTATGCTACTGGAGAAGAGTGGAGGGGAGTTACTAATAGCTGCAGAAAGAATGAGGTGGCTGGGCCAAAGTGGAAATGACACTCAATTGTGGATATATCTGGTGGTGAAAGTAAAGTCCGGTGCTGTAAAGAACAGTATTGCATAGGAACCTGGAATGTTAGGTCCATGAATCAGGGTAAATTGGACATGGTCAAGCAGAAGATGACCAGAGCAAACATCGGCATCTTAGTAATCAGTGAACTAAAATGGACAGGAATGGGCGAATTTAATTCAGATGACCTTTATATCTACTACTGTGGACAAGAATCCCTTAGAAGAAATGGAGTAGCCATCATAGTCAACAAAAGAGTCCAAAATGCAGTACTTGGGTGCAATCTCAAAAACAACAGAATGAACTATGTTCATTTCCAAGACAAACCATTCAGCATCACAGTAATACAAGTCTGTGCCCCAACTACTGATGCTGAAGAAGCTGAAGTTGACTGGTTCTGTGAAAACGTACAAGATCTTCTAGACTAAAACTAACATAAAAAAAAAAGATGTTCTTTCCATCCTAGGGGATTAGAATGCAAAAGTAGGAAGTCAAGAGATGCCTGAAGTAACATGCAAGTTTGGCTTCGAAGTACAAAGTGAAGCAGGGCAAAGGCTAACAGTCTTGTCAGGAGAACACAGTGGTCATAGCAAATACCCTCTTCCAGCAACACAGGAGACAATTCTACACATGGACATCACCAAATGGTCAATATTGAAATCACACTGATTATATTCTTTGTAGCTGGAGATAAAAAAGCTCGATACAGTTAGCAAAAACAAGACCTGGAACTGACTGTGGCTCAGATCATCAGCTCCTTATTGCATAATTCAGGCTTATGTTTAAAAAAGTAGGGATAATATATCCCCAACTGAATGCAGAGTTCCAGAGAATAGAAGGGAGAAATTAACAAGGCCTTCTTAAATGAACAATGCAAAGAAATAGAGGAAAACAATAGACTACATTAATTGTTGAGCTAGCCTTCCTTTATACCTGGATTAAATCCCAGTTGGTCGTGGTATATAATTATTTTTCTACATTGTTGGATTCAATTTGCTATTATTTTTGCATTTGTGTTCATGAGAGAGAATGGTCTGCAGATTTTCTTTCTTGTAATGTCTTTATCTGATTTTAGTATTAAAGTAATGCTGGCTACATAGAATGAGTTCTAATGGGCATTGCAGAAATGAGTTGTTTTGTTTCTATTCCTGAGGAAGACTGTTCCCAGGATTAGAGGAAAAGTAAATACTTTTGGTAGCTTTTATGACATTTAGAAGACTTTTAACCATATTTCGCTAATTAACTACATGATTTTGGCTAAGTCAAACTGTTTCTTTGGGCCCTGATTTTTGTGTTCTTGGCCACACCACAAGGCATGTGGGATCTAGTTCCCAGACCAGGGATCGAACTCATGCTCCTGCAGTGGAAGTGCAGAGTCTTAACCACTGGACCATCAGGGAAGTTCCTGGGCCCTATTTTCTTAATCTTAGAAAGAGTATTTTTGTAAATTAGACTAAGGTCTTTCCTAGAGTTCTTGTTTTTGAGCTTTGTTCCCCAGTTGCAGAGTATTTTAACAGGAAGGGAGCTTAGAGACCCTGAAGTTCTGTGCTCTGTAGCCAGTAGATTAACTCCTGCCCATAGAGCTAGGCTTGCCAGCTGGGAGATGCAGCCCACTGTCTTCTCTGATAGTTCCTGGATGTCTGATTGGGAGAGGGGCTTGGGCGATAGTGCTGACTTGGAGCTAGAGAGCCAGATGAACCTGTTTTTAAATGTCTTTATGATATCAAGCTGGTATCTGCCTCACCAAGCTTCAGTTTCCTCATCTGTAAAGCTGGAATGATATACACAGTTGGTTGTCAGGATTGAATGAGATATTTGCGATCGTTGCACACAAGTGTTCAGTTAAAATCAGTTGAATCTGGATGTTCACTCTGTCCCACACTTGCTTTGTGATCCATCTTGATTCCACATCAGAGTCACTTGAAGAGTATTTTTTAAAAACCCTGATGCCCTTGAAAACTTTTCACTAAGTTAAAGAAGCCAGACATGAAAGGTCACATATTGTTCTATGAAATGCCCTGACTGGGTGAATCCACAGAGCCAGATGAAGATTGGTGGTTGCCAAGGGTTGAGGGTTTGGGGGAAATCTGCTTAATGGGACGTGGTTTTACTCCGGAGTGATGGGAATGTTTTGGAACTAGGGTAGAACTGGTTGCACAATGTTGTGTACTACATGCTGCTGGATTGTTCCTTCTCAGCCACCCCCACCCCGCCCCACCCTCCCTACAGCTTCATTAAAGCTTAATTGTTGTTCAGTGGCCTGCATATATTTAAATTGTTTAATTTGAGATTTGCATATATATGTACCTGGTCATTACCACAGTAAGATGGTAAACCTATCGATTATCTCTTACAATTTCCTTGTGCCCTCTTTTACGGCCTCCTTTCCATTCCTCCCCGCCCTCTCATCCCCAGGTAGTCACTATTCTGCTTTCTATTTTATAGATTAGTTTTCAATTTCTAGAATTTTATATAAATGGAATCATGCAGTATGGATTAAATTTTATGTGACTCCTTTTACTCAGTATACTTATTTCACTTATAAGTGTTTACTTTTGCTGTTGCATATTATTTATATGAAAGTATTTCACTGTATAAATACACCACAAATTATTTGTCCGTTCACCTGGTAATGGACATTTGGGCAGTTTTCAGCTTGGGAGATTACCACTAAAGCTGTGGGCATCCATGTACAAGTCTCAGTGTGGACATCAGTTATCTTTTCTCTTAGGAGTGGGATGGCTGGGTCAGAGGATATGTGTATGTTTAAACATGTCTTAACATTGAAAAAGTAAAGCATGAGCAGCTATTTGAAATGATACAGATATATTTGATAAGAAAGAAGAAACAACTGGAGTTTTGCAATGGTGAAGCTATTAATAACTTGAAAACTGCAGCTTCAGTTGAGTGGTAGGTAGGAAGCTTTTAAGGTGGGAATTAGGAAAACTGAATTGAGAAGTTTGGCAGGAAGTGTTGATAACTTCAGAAGCTTTGCTGTGAAAAGAGTTGTGGCTTTTGGAAGTTGTGAATTGTTCCTTTTTAAATGGATATTTTTACATGGTGTGAATTGTACTTCAATTATTAAAAAAAAAAAAAAAGACTCATCATCGTCATCAAGCAAACAAAATCCTGACATTCAGGATTCAAACCAGTTAAATCAGAATCTTTGTGTGTAGGACCCGGGCATTCACTTTCTGAAATCTTCCTTGGTGATTGCAAAATGTAGCCAGTGTTCAGGAACAGTGATCTAAGTAAGGTTGGCAAACTTTTTCTGTAAAAGACCAGACAATAAGTATTTTCAGCTTTGAGGGCCAGAAGATCTCTATTTTGACTCCTCACATCTGTCATTGAAACATGGCAGCAGCCGCGGTCAACATTTAACAAATGAGCATAGTATATTTCAATAAAACTTATTTCCGATAACAAGCAGTGGGCCAGAGTTTCCCAGCCCCTAGTCTAAAGACTCAGAAGGGGCTTTAGAGAGGGGGCTGCAGGGTGCTGAGGGAGATGGAAGATGACCTCCCAGGCAGTACCCAATCAGGAACTCTGCTCTTCTGCCTATTTTAGTTCTTAGTTACTTAAGCATAAATATCCCGGCATTGAAAATAGAATGTTAGAATTCCAACACTTACACGCTTCTATTTAATTCTAGCTGCAAAAGACAAGGAGAAGAATAAAGAGAAGAAATTCAAAGAGTTTGTGAGGGTGAAACCAAAGAGGAAAAAGAAAAAGAAAAAGAAAACCAAACCTGGTAAATTTTCCCTGGGGCATTTCACTTGGGTTTCCTTACAGGTAAGGAGGGGTTGCTTCTTCATAGTCCTGCCTGTGAGGAGAGGAAGGGTCAGCAAGCCTTTAATGGAGCTTGTGGGCTCAGCCTAGCATGGGCAGTGACAGGGGAAGAGCCCACTTACCCTGGGTGCCTCAAGGCCGCATTGATGTTTAGAAAGCCCTCCCTCGTACTGTGTTGGCCAGCATTGCCCTATCGCAGTGAAAGCATCATTGTAGGAGAGGATATGCAGGTGAATAACTGTATTTGTTTGCATACACAACTCTTTTCTGGTTTTTATTGTGTTTATTTGTAAACTTTTAATTTTGTATTGGTGTATAGCTGATTAACAATGTTGTGATAGTTTCAGGTGAGCAGTGAAGGGACTCAGCCGTATACATCTATCTATTCTCCCCTATACTCCCTTCTCATCCAGGCTGCCACATAACATGAACAGAGTTCCCTGTGCTACGCAGTTGGGCTTTCTTACCCATCTCAAGTATAGCACTGTGTACATGTCCATCCCAAACTCCCTAACGCATCCCCCATTCCTTCCCCCTGGCAACCGTAAGTTCATTCTCTAATTGTGTGCACACACAACTCTTAAATGTACATTTCTGAACCCTTTTAAGAAAGGATATATATCTCTTTAAAAGTATGCGCCTAACTCCAACAAAATTGCCGATTTTTAAGAAAATCAGTGCTCCAGTCTTGGGAGCTAAAGGAATGCCACATTTTATTCTCAAACCATCTTCTGGCTTAAAGAAACAATCTTCTCAGAAAAGGAGGGAGAAGGGTGGTGGTGAGGAGGAAGGCTTTGGTTTTGAGGTTCTTAGAGGTAACTGTAAGTATTAACCTGTACTCTTGTATCTGAATTCCTCCTGAGCATTTGAGCTGTTTGACCAGCAGAGCTGTTGGTTGGACGATGTTGATTCTGGAATACCCTGGTGATGTCTAGGGGTGTCTTGATCTTGTTCTTCCAGAATGCCCTTGCAGTGAGGAGGTCAGTGACACTTCCCAGGAACCTTCTCCACCTAAGGCATTTGCTGTTACCAAGTGTGGTTCCTCACACAAGCCTGGTGTCCATATGAGCCCACAGATCCAAGGCTCAGAGTCTGGAAACCACAAAGGGAAAGTGAAAGTGTCTGGTAAGGAGGCTGTCTGCTGGTTTGACCATTTGTACAACACTATAGTCTGAGGACGCTAGATTTATGTTGATATTGTAGTCTACTCTCAGGCCTTCTGCAAGTAATTGTTAGATCTTTTAAATAAAAAGTACCTCAAATAAATGGAGAAGAAAATGGCAACTCACTCCAGTATTCTTGCCTGAAAAATCCCATGGACAGAGGAGCCTGGTAGGCTACAGTCCATGGTGTTGCAAAAGAGTTAGCAGCTGAAAAAAAACAGACATCAAATAAAATTGGCCATTAGCTATACCTTTCCTGAATTTCCCTTCTCTCCAACTTTGGTCTTAGTAAAATGTCTCATAGGTACCCCTTAGCCAGTGTGTCTGTAACCAATTTCATTGTCCCTCTTTCCCTTGCACACCTACCTCCCTGTTCCTTCATTTCTTGTTGGTGGCCTCTGCATATAACCTGGTTGCTTTGGGAAATCTAAGTCAACCTTGAAGCTTCCCCATCTTCAGCAACTTATAAGGTGATCATGAGTTTAAAAGTAGTTAATAAGTACATGTAAAGTACTTACAACAGTGTCTGGTACAGAATAAGTGATCAGTAAATGTTAGCTGTAATTATCACTAATCAGGCACCTCAGACTAGATATTCTAGTTCTGACTGTCCCTGGAATCTTCCCCTTCCTCATTCTCCACGGTTTATAGGGTTTTGAAGGTGACTGTGGATACAGACTTTGCTGTAAACGAGGTCCTGGATGGCTGGGGTGAGGTTGAGGAATACGTTTGTGTCATTAAGGATGATGATCTGTATGGTTCATGGGGAGTTGCAATTCCTCTGCCACTGAGCTCTGTGACCTTGAGCAGCTACTTACCTTGGGCTTCAGTGTCAGGAAAATGAGGAAAGAGAGCTCAGTTTTACTGCCATGTGGCAGATATCGTTTGGGCTCTTAGTAGATGACAGGCCCAAGGAACCAACTGGAGTTCATATTTCCCAGCTCTGTGAAAGTTCACAGAGGAGAGGGTCTGTAAGGTCATTTTTTTACAGGTCTTGGTGATCTAGGGTTGATTATTTTTTTATTTTGTGACTGTTGTTTTCCCTTTCCTCGTAGAAGAGGATAATCTGAGTGAGTCCTCTTCTGAGAGCTTTCTTTGGAGCGATGAGGAGTATGGCCAAGACGTCGATGTGACCACTAACCCAGACGAGGAACTTGACGGGGATGACCGTTATGACTTTGAAGTGGTCCGCTGCATCTGTGAGGTTCAGGAGGAAAATGACTTCATGATTCAGGTAGGTGGAGCTTCTAGGAGCCACAGGTCCAGAGAAACACAAACTGGTCCTTGGTGGGAATTTTGAAGGACTACTGTTTGAGGCCAGCAAAAATCACAAGTCAGGTCAGAAGCCCCAGGTAGGCGGTACTCTCAGCACCAGGTTGAACTTTGTTTACTCGTTCAGCTTTCTCAGCATCTCAGGCTGGTATAAATAACCTATTAATAGAATAAGAGAGGACTTGAGGGATCAATGAGTATAAATCTCTCATGCTCTGCTTAGGCCAGCTGGACTCACCAATGGGAAGGGCCTTGCCTGTGGTCACACAGTGAGGAGTTGAACAGTAGGGGCCCAACTCTGGAGGGGCAGTTTGATCTTCCTATGGACCCATATCTTCTCTCTAAGGCAGATTTTCTTTATGATCTAATGAAAGGGTGGCCAGTATTATAGCTTGTCTGTTTCTTACTCTTTATTTCCCTGGCATTTGTAGTTGTCATCTCCATTTCTGGGATGTGTCTCCTGGGGGAGGTGAATGTGGGGGGAGTTCCTTGTCTGCTCTGGGAGACTGTCACTGGCTAGCACCTGCTTGCCTCTGCCTTTCTCTTGCTCTTAATCACAGTCCTGCTGGAGGTGACTGTTGCCTGCTTGACTCCCTGGACTGTCATAAATACCCTGGGTATTCAGGGAACCTGAGTTTTTTACGTAAGTCATGTGTACTTTGGTTAGAATTATTTTAGGGGTGTCTTTCTCTTTAAATAGCCTTCATGGCCTCTGGGAATTCAAGGCACGTGGGTGGTTCTCCAGTAGCTCCTGATGTTTATGACCTTTAGTGTGCGTTAGGTCAGGCTTCCCCAGTGGCTCAGCCAGTAAAGAATCTGCTGTAATACAAGAGACCCGGGTTTGGTCCCTGGGTCAGGAAGATCCCTGGAGAAGGAAATGGCAACCAACTCCGGTATTCTTGCCTGGAATATCCCATGGACAAAGGAGCCTGGTGGGCTACAGTCCATGGGTCACAAAAAGTTGGACATAACTTGGTGACTAAACCACTACCATGCATTAGGTCAGTCGTTCTCAGACTTTTTCAGCATCAGAATCGCTTGCCAATGTAGACTCTTTCACAGAACCCCAAAATGTATAACAGGTAAAAGCAGTAGTTTTGAAAGCTCAGAATGAATAATTTTTACTTTGAAGTTCAGAAATGGCCTCTTTCGGTGAGGTCTGATATGCATTCAGGTGGTGTGCTGGTTGCTGACTTTGAGCATTTCAGTGTCTCTGTTGTTTTCTTCTTTTTGTGAGACAAACCTAATGAACATGGCCATTGCGTGGGTGACTTTTCCTAAACAGCATGCTTTGTAGTCACTTTGATTAATCAGAGACAGAAAGAAAAGCTTTGTTTTAAGGACAGCATAATACTTAGTTAGCTCAGCAGTACAGAATTATGTGTACTGTTATGGGCTATTAACATATTGTTAATATGTTAATATTAACATTAACATTAAGCTTGGAGTGTGCATTTTTTTGTTTTATTTTTTCTTTTGAAATAGTCCCATTTTATAAAACACACCTGTGTGTAGAATCTCTGAAGCTCAATGGAATATAATTCAAAAACTTATATAACATGAAACCCCCCCCCCCCCCCCCCCCGCCCTTTTAAGTTTGGTTTTAAAAGTATGTTGAAGATTGTTAGTTTTTATCATGTCTCTCTGGGCATGTGCTCAGTTCTGAGTGTTGGAAGCCTGATTTGGTCCTCATATGTCCACAGAAATCATTAGTGGTTGAGTAATGAAGGCCTTTCCTGGCAAGGCTCTTCCGGCACATCAGTGTAGGAGATGCAGTTCTGATCCACCATGGTACTTTCTCCATTGACTTTTCTGTAAGTGGCAAGGATCATGGGGTGTTTGGGGGATAGAGCTTGAAGTACCATTTTTGTGCTATGAGAAGTAAGTTTGGAAAATTGAGGCCACACCAGCTTTTACATGGCTGGCTGAGTCCATTTTGTGCTTCCTAGGCTCCACATGGCCTTCCCCCCATCTCAGCTCAGCACTGTGGCTTTCTTTCTGGCATTGTGGTGGTGATGAGCTCACTTCAGAACACTGTGGGTTTTGCTGTAGAATACTTGGTGTTCATTTGCTGCCAGCTGGCTTTGTGTTATAAAGGGGCAGTTTCCTGACTTTATCTGTCATCATGAGCAGTGTACCTTTTCTACTCAGTAATTTCAGCAAAAGGCATAAATTTAAAGGAAGCTAATAGGAACAAATGGGACTTCCCAGGTGGCTCAGTGGTAAAGAATCTGCCTGCCAAGCAGGGGATGTGGGTTCAATCTCGGAGCTGGAAAGATGCCCTGGAGAAGGAAATGGGAACCCACTCCAGTATTCTTGTCTGGAAAATCCCATGGACTCGGAGCCTGGCTAGCTGCAGTCCATGGGGTAGCAAAGAGTCAGACACAACTTAGTGACTAAACAGCAACAGCAGCAGCAGGAACAAGTATAGTTTAAACCTTTAAAATGTATTCATCTAGTTTTAAATATATTCATTGTCTAGGAAAGTTCAAGTCATTTTTTTCCTTAAAATTTTAATTTACATTGATAATTTGCATAGTTATGGAACACATTTAGAATTTGTTCTGTAGAAGATTACTGTAGAGAAATAGTTTTCTTTGTTCATTTCATTATTTGGTATCAGTATTGCTCATGTATATTATTATTTGATTTTATTTACCAGTGCTAATTTAAATCACTGGAAGGTTAAAATCCTATTTAATAATCATGAATGTTTGAGAAATCTGGGTACCACATAAAAAATGAACATCAAGAAACTCACTTAATATTTGAATTTATTTTAATTGCTCTAGGGAAGGTTTGGCAAACTTTTTCTTAAAGGACCAGATAATAAATATTTTAGGCTTTGGTCATTTGGTTTCTGTCACAACTACACAGCTCTTCCCCAAGCAGCCAGAAGTAGTACCAAAAAATCAATGAGTGTGGTTATGTTCGTATAACACTTAATTTACCAAAATAGGACTTAAGCTGAATTTGGCCTGTGGGCTATAGTCTGTTGACCTTTGCCCTAGAGCAACAAATATATAACATTAGGTGCCAAACCCTAGTGAAAATTGTATAGCATCTTTAATAAGAAGCCCATATAAAAAACTTGTTTGCTTTCCCTGGAGGCAGTTTTCATCATGTTCTTGTGTATCACTCCAGAAACACTCAGTGGCAAAATAAGCAGTAATACATGTATTCTCTCCATTTTTTCCCTTTCTTTTTGTGATAAAATATACATAAGATAGGACTTCCAAGGGGGCGCTAGTGATAAAGAACCTGCATACCAATGCAGGATACCTGAGAGACGTGGGTTCGATCCCTGGGTTGGGAAGATCCCTTAGAGGAGGACATGGCAACCCACTCCAGTATTCTTGCCTGCGGAATACCATGGACAGAGGAACCTGGCAAGCTATGGTCATTAGGGTCAAAAAGAGTTGGACGTGACTGAAGCAATTTAGCATGGACGCATACATAACAAAGTTTACTGTCTTTTTTAATTTTTTTAATTGGGATATAATTACTTTACAATGTTGTATGAGTTTCTGTTGTACAATGACGTGAATCAGCTATATGTATACATATATCCCCTCCCTCTTAAGCCTCCATCCCATCCACCCTCTTCCCAACCTTCTAGGTCATCACAGCACTGGGCTGAGTTCCTGTGCTACATAGCCACTTCCCACTAACTATCTGTTTTACACATGGTATTGTAGATATGGCAATATGTCTCTCAGTTCGTCCCACTCTCTTCTCCCTGTGTCCACAGGTTTGTTCTCTACATCTGTGTCTGTGTTCCTGCCTTGCAAATAGGTTCATCAGTACCATTTTTCTAGATTCCATATGTATACATTCAGTTCAGTTCAGTTCAGTTGCTAAGTCGTGTCCAACTCTTTGCGACCCCATGGACTGCAGCACACTAGGCCTCCCTGTCCAAACTCCAACTCTTGGAGTTTATTCAAACTCATGTCCATTGAGTTGGTGATGCCATCCAACCATCTCATCCTCCGTTGTCCCCTTCTCCTCCCACCTTCAATCTTTCCCAGCATCAGGGTCTTTTCAAATGAGTCAGTTCTTTGCATCAGGTGGCCAAAGTATTGGAGTTTCAGCTTCAACATCGGTCCTTCCAGTGAACACTCAGGACTGAGCTCCTTTAGGATGGACTGGTTGGATCTCCTTGCAATCCAAGGGACTCTCAAAAGTCTTCTCCAAAACCACATATATGATATTCGTTTTTCTCTTTCTGACTCTGTATGACAGACTCTTGGTTTATCCATATCGCTAAATTTACCAGACTAACCATTTTTAAATTTATGTGGCATTAAGTGAACTGGCATTGAGTATATCATTTACTTTGCTGTACAACCATATTTTAAAAAATTTAAACACAATATTATTTTAATACATAGTATTTTCAATATCTTTTTTTTCATTTAATAATATGTAAGTTGAAGACCTTTCCATTTTCAAATCTTGAAAAGCTTCCCCAGCCTTTTTTTATGGCTGCACAATGAACAAATCATCATTTATTTAACCTTTCCATTATTGATTGACATTTAGATTGTTTCTAATCTTAATAGCAGTGTAATGAATAATTTTATGTAAGTATACCTGTGAGACTGAGTTCTTCTCTCTTTTTTTTTTTTGGCCTTGTTTATCTCACAAGACCTCAAAAAACTGTCAGAAACTCACCTTTATTCCCCCTTGAGCCTACCTAACCAAATCTTCAGAACAAGACAAAAGATTTAGTTCGAGCAGGAGCAAGAACACCAGAGTAAGAGTGAAACTGAGTTTTAAAGTAGAGTTTCTGGGCAAAAGTTTGTGTGCCTTTGTTATTTTGACAAATACTGTTATTTGTCATAACAACTCTATTAAAACCCTCCTTGGTGTACCAGGAGCTTCCCTGGTAGCTCAGCTGGTAAAGAATCCGCCTGCAATGCAGGAGACCCTGGTTTGATTCCTGGGTCAGGAAGATCCGCTGGAGAAGGGATAGGCTACCCACTCCAGCATTCCTGGGTTTCCCTGGTGGCTCATCTGGTAAAAAATCCGCCTGCAATGTGGGAGACCTGGGTTCGATCCCTGGATTGGGAAGATCCCCTGGGAAAGGGAACAGTTGCCCACTCCAGTATTCTGGCCTGGAGAATTCCATGGACTGTGTAGTCCACGGGGTCACAGAGTTGGACACAGCTGAGCGACTTTTCACTCACTGGTGTACCAAGAACAGCCTTACCAGTGCCCTTGTCACTACAGAGTACTATTAAACATTTTTTATCTTTGCTCTTCAGATAAAAACAATCTTCTAGTGTAGCTATTTTGTAATTTAAATAAACTTTTTAAAAGTTTGTGATTTTTCTGTGTTTTCCATGAGCTACAAAGAAGAAAACAAGGATGACCCAGATTATTTTCACCCAGAAATAACCACTGTTATTTTTAAATACACACATACAAATGTATATATAAATGAAAATTATAATCTATAAACAGCTTTTCATGAGAATAACACTTCTATGATGAAAGCAGTAAATGTTTAAAAATTTCAGGGAATACATAAAGGTATGAAGAATTAGTTGATACTTACATATAATCTCAAAATCTAGAAATACCAATGTGTATGCTTATTATTAGGCTGATTTGACTTCACATTAATTTATATTAATATAATTTTCTGTTATTCTTCTAATGGTTAATTTGAATATCGTTTTACTTAAGATTTGTTTTTTTTCCTTTGAGCTGTGTGTTCATGTTCTTATCCGTTTATCTGTTAAATGGTTGGTCATTTTCCTGCTGGCTTGTATAGGCTTTTTGTTGATATGTTTTTGTGTCAGCTGTGAAAACGGTTACAAATATTTGTACCTGTTTGGTCATCTGTCTTTTGACTTGTCTTATAGATGCTTTGTTTTTATGAGGTCAAATATATCAAACTTTTTCTTTAATGGCTTTTGGGATTTGAATAGGAGTTGTTTCCTCATTGGAAGTTCATAAAAGTCTACAGAAAATTCAATCAATGAATTTCTCCTGGTTTCTTCTGGTAGTTTTGCAGTTTCATATATTTTTTTAAAAACCATGTAAATATTTTATTTGCCTGGGTGAGGGCTCTCACTACCCAGTTGTTCCAGCACCATGCTGCATATTGCACAACTACCTTTATTTACTGTATTTCTGTATATAGTTTGTTTCTTATTCTAGATTCTGTCTTCTTTTCCATTGATCGCTCTCTGTATTTGTCTGTACAATTCTATTTTAATTATTATACTTTTTTAATATGTTTAAGATATCTGGTAGGGCTAGTACCCCCCTTTTTTTTTAATGAGTTTCCTGGCTATTAGAATCAGCTTCTGTATAGTTCCAAAGCTAAAAGTTTATTGTTTTATTGGCACTACATTATTTTTATATATTAATCCAAGGAGAACTGCCATCCTTTTGATAATGACTCTTGCTATTAAGGAATAAAGTGCAGCTTATTCATTGACTTAAGTCTCTGTGTCCTTCAAATAATCAAAAATTTTCTTTGTTTAGATCTTGCATGCTTTTATTCTTAGTCTTATATTTATTCTTAGATAGTTTATCTTTTCTGTTATTGTTTCTGTTTATTTCTAAATTTAAACTTTTTGGGAATGCCCTGGTGGGCCAGTGGTTCAGACTCAGTGCTCTCAATGACTGAGGGTGGGGCCCTGGGTTCAGTTCTTGGTCTGGGACCAAGATCTTGCAAGCCTCACAACAGAAGTGTTCCCCCCCAACCCCTGCCTCAAAAATTTTAAAAAACTTTTTTTAAAAATTATTTTTATTTTAATTTTGTGGCTGTACTGCATGGCATGTTGGGTCTTAGTTCCCTGACCGGGGATCAAACCTTGTGCCCCCTGCATTGGATGTGCAGAGTCTTAACCACTGGACTGCCAGATTAAGTCCCCAGTTTAAACTTTCAAAAAATGAACAGTGTATATTAGCCCGACCCACGTGAGAAAATTATTTTAAAATTTTCAACTTAGCTGTATTTGATTCAATTTTGGTGTCTCCTAGTTCTTAAAACATGAAGTCATTGGTGAGAGAGACGTTCATTCTTAATTATTTGTCTGTTTTCTGCTACCAGCTGCCTTTGTTGTCTCACACCCTTTTCTTTCCCTCTGAGCCTTAGTTTCCTCATTGGAAATGGAAGAATCTAGATCACATCTGAAGTCTCTCTTCCAGCTCTGCCCCTGTTGATTCTTACATTATCAGTCCATAAAAGCCCTTTGATGCTGAGGCCTATCTGATTCCAGATGGCTGAAGACTGTGAGCTTCAGACTTTTCCTTTGTGGCCAGGCCAGTGGTCCAACCTCAAACCATGTCAGAAGCTCACTATCCCCTTTCCAGAGCTGTCCATGTGGTTGGGTAGTTAACAGTTTAGGGCCTGGTCTGGAACTGCTGGAAGGATCCTGGTGTCCCCCTGGGCGTCCTTTCCCACTCCATTCCTTCCTCTGGACCTGAGCCCTCAGGCCTCCTCTCCTCAGGCCAGCCATCGCTCTTCCAGTGCTGCTGTCACCCTCTGCTCCTTTCTTTTCTCTCTTTGCCTCCTGCCCCTTCTTCCTTTCCTCCTCCCCCAGGGAAGGCAGTGGAGCCTAGGGGTTAAAACAGCAGTCCCCAACCTTTTTGGCATCAGGGACCAGTTTTGTGGAAGACAGTTTTTCCCTGGACCTGGGGTGGGGAATGGTTTTATGATGATTCAAGTGCATTACATTTACTATGCACTTTATTTCTACTAGTATTACATTAGCCCCACCTCAGGTAATCAGGCATTTGATCCCAGAGGTTAGGGACTCCTGGGTTAAAAGAACTAGTCTTGCAGTTAGTTGGGCTTGTGTTTGATTAACAGTGGATCCAACAGTGTTGCTCCACTGTTGCCTCTTCTCAGCTGTGTGACCTTTGGTAAGGTTTAGAGAGAAGAAATGCAGAGTGCTAGCACATGGTTGGGCTTCACTGGTGGCTCAGTGGTAAAGAATATGCCTATAATGCAGGAGATCCAGGTTTGATCCCTGGGTTGGGAAGATCCCCTGGAGGAGGGCATGGCAACCCACTCCAGAATTCTTGTCTGGAGAATTCCATAGACAGAGGAGCCTGGCAGGCTACAGTCCATAGGGTCGTACAGTCGGACGTGACTGAAGTGACTTAGCACATGCACAGCACATGGTTACTTCAGGAGGCATCACAGTGAATTAGCCTGCCCTTTTGTAGTAGGAATAGGCTCTTTCTACATAAAAGCTGTGTGCTGAGCTCCCCAGTATGACATATGATCCATTGATTCCTCACTGACAGCCCCACATGGTCAATAGGAATAGTATCCTGTTTTGCAAATAGGGAAACGGAAGCCTGGGTTGGAGAAGTGACCTGATCTGTAAGGTCACACAGCTAATGAATGTCTGAGCCAGAATTCAAACTCAGGTTTTTGTCTTTCTTACCTTCCTCTGAGGGCTTAAACAATTTTTCCTCTGTCTTTATAAAGTGATCAGAAAAGTGCAAGCCTCTAGATATGGGAGGGAAAGTAGTCATTTTTCTGAGATCAAGTACTGTGTAATCTAAATTCTCTTTATCTGTGCCGTCCAGTACAGTAGCCTCTAACCTCATATGACTGTTGAGCACTTAAGATGTGGCTGGTGGGGAGAGGAACTGAATTTTTAACTTCGTTTGTTAATCTAACATTGAAAGCATAGGGTGGCTGCTGTATTGACTAGCGCAGCTGTGCAATCGGCTGCAGTTCGGCGCCCCTGTGAGTCCATGGGGAGCGCCCTCCCTCCCCCTCCTCCTCCCACCTCCCAGTGCCCCTCCCCCACAGCTGGGTCTTGTTTTTGGATGGAGGATTCCTTCTGAGTTTAATTTTCTTATTGCTTCTTTAATTCTAACAGTGTGAAGAGTGCCAGTGCTGGCAGCATGGGGTCTGCATGGGATTACTGGAAGAAAATGTGCCTGAGAAATACACCTGTTATGTTTGCCGAGACCCTCCAGGTAGCGATTTCTCGAGTCAGGGATCTTAACAGTATGTAGCCTTTTCCTTAGCACAGAGGGCGGTGCAGCAACCTGAAGGTCTGGAGTCTTGAGACTCATTTCTTCAGCATTGGCTAGACCCGGCCTCCTCGCCCTTGTTGCTAGCCCACCTGGTGGCCAGCTGTCCTGAACTTGGCAGTAAGAAAGAGTGCGTGGAGAGGTTCACTTAGCGTAAGACCTGACCTTGAGCTAGAATCTGTGTGTGTGTGTGTGTGTGTGTGTGTGTGTGTGGTTAAAAAATCATATAACATGAGCTCAACCCTGTTAACATTTGTAAGTGTCTGGTGCAGTGATTGTTTATAAACTGTATGCACAGATCTCCATAACTTTCTCATCTGGTGCAACTGACACTCCGTGTGAACTGCAGGATGCTGTACAGGCTTGCATGTCGTCCCTTTGTATGCTGGGCCACGCTGATCTCTTCTCTGTCATTCCAGTTTTAGCATATGTACTGCCAGAGTGAACACCTTTTCCTTTTCTTGAGAGTTGATGAGGATGTGGGCTCTGACCTTGACTGCTCAGGGCTGTTAGAGGGTTGGCAGTCGGCCTCTGCTCCCTCTGGTGGCATCTGCCTTCCACTGCATTGTTGCCACCTGGAAGGGAGATGTGCCCTTGAGGGGGATGGGAAAGGTGTTTGCGAAGAGCCTGTCACCCAGAGGAGTGAGTTCGTTCCTCAGGATCAGTTCGTTTCATTGTTCCATGACTGCAGGGCTGGCCTGTGGCTCTCGAGTGCTGCTTTCCAAAAATCTCAGGAATGGATTATAAATCTGTGCAGTTCTTGTCTTGCTGTCAGTGGGATGGGGACATTGTCTCCATTCATCAGCTGTGAGGTCTCTTCCCTTGGGTCCAGTCCCATGATCCCCTTACAGCTAGACAATGCTTGAGGGCCTCTGCTTCTGTTACTCCTTTTAGTAACAATGAGATGGCACTGGTAGGAGCTCCTAGTCCTATCTTTTTGCTTAGGAGGAAGAAAGTGATGCCCGGGGACACAAATGACTTTCCTAATCCCATGAAGCAAATTGGAATTAGAACTGACTTGTGGGACTAACTCTCTTGATTTTGCTGGTTATATAGGAAGGGCTACCACAGTTGTTTTCTTTTCCAGCAAGTAGGCCCCCCTGGGGCCTGATATGGTCTATTGTGACACTGTGTCTTCTTGTGCTAGAGTAGTCTATAGGCAGAGAGCAATCTGCCTCTATTTTTCCCTTTACCCCAAGGAAAGAACATGGTCAGAAGAGTAGTCCATGAGTCATAGAATATAACCAATGGGTAGGATCCCAGAGACCTCTTAGTTTAGCCTTGACATTTAACAGGCAAGCATCAGGCCCAGAAGGGGCATGATTAGCATAAGATCACTCAGTTAGTAACAGATAGATGAGAACTGGTGTCTCTGACCTTTGTCTTGTCAAACCGGCAATGCTGCTCTGAATCCTGCTGCTCAGGCCACCTCTGACAGCCGCCTCCGAGGCTCCACACATAGTCCCCAGGGCTCCTTTGCGGCCTTGTTTAAAAATCTCTTCTGTCTACTTTGTCTCTCACTCTTTCCTCCACTTTTTCCTTTTAAGAAATCATATATAGCATTTTCATCAATCCCTAAGCACTTTCTGGACTTTTATAACTAAATTGCCAAGACTGGGGGTAGATTCCTCTAATTGAGCACTCAGTGACTGTCACATTTACTGTCTGTGTTTGATTCTGCAGTGTCTTGAGCCAGAAATTTAACCTAACAGAGCTCTTCTTTAAAGGTTACTTAACAGAGTGAAGGTGCATCCCCACCATGTGTCTTAGTAAAGCCAGAAAGAGTCCAAGGACCTTGATAAGGATTGATTATTTTAGGGTTTTTAATAGCTATTGAGAGGTGAACAGCAGTCTGATTGGAAGCTGTTCCCTGGGCTTTTGCAATAGGAAACACTGCCAAGTCGTATGTGGTTGCGTTTTCAGTCCAAGGATCCCTGTAATGAGCAGAACCACTGAGGCTGTTCAGTTCATCTGTCGTTATTAACAGGTGGGAAACGGACATCTAGAGAAGGGAGCAGGGGCCTGACTGTTCATTCAGTTAGGTGGTAGGTGACAGTTGGAGGGGGCTTGGGGCGTCTTTCCAGGTGATAAATTCATTCAAGATGGCTTTTGCTAGACACTGGGGATATAGCCATGAACAAAACAGTTCCTACTCTGGCTCTTAGTGGGGTTGGGGCCAGAAACAGATGTCAAAATAAGTCATATAAACAAAAACATAATAGGTAGGGATGAATACTTTGATGGGGCAAAAGCCCTCGGATAGGAAATGACTGGGAGGCACCAAAGAGGCTGTCTTACTTTCGGAGGTAACATAGGGCCTGTCTGAGGAGGCAGTGGGGAGCCAGTTCTGCAAAGGTCTTGGGAAATAGTGCTCTAGGCACGTGGGGGTGGGGTGCTGGAGCAGAGATCCTAAAACCAGAAGGAGCTTGATATGTTCCAGAAAGGGTTAGGCAAGGAGGAGAGGGAGGAGCCAGGTCCTACAGGCCTCATTAGACCAGAGTTAGGGCTTTGGGTTTTCTTTTGTTCATAGTAGGAAGTCATTGAAGGTTTTAAGTGTGAGAGGGAATGAGAAATTCCCACTCTGCCTCTGGCCAGTTGCAGAGATCAGGACATTAATACACCTTTCTCACTACCTTATTCCAGCACCTTGTAGAGAGCCCAGCATATAGTAGGTACCAGGTAAATGTATACTGGATGAATGAATGAACACATGCAAACACCAGTCCATCCTTGGCAGTAGTTTGTGTGATAACTGTGCGATGATGAAACTGGGTTTCCTTCAGACCAAGGATTAACTCTCTCATTGTCACTGCTGTAGGTCAGAGGCCTGGCTTCAAGTACTGGTATGACAAGGAGTGGTTGAGCAGGGGACACATGCATGGCCTGGCATTTTTAGAAGAGAACTATTCCCACCAGAACGCCAAGAAGATCGTGGCCACCCACCAGCTTCTCGGCGACGTGCAGAGAGTGATCGAGGTTCTGCACGGCCTGCAGCTCAAGATGAGCATCTTGCAGTAAGTGTGGCACCTGCCGCTCTGGGGCTGAGTCTGAGTTCGAATGGGCAGAGGACAGGGTGAATGTGAGAACCTGGAAAGCCACAAAACCGGTGATGCGAAGAGTGAGTTTGAGACCTGTATTAAAAATTCTCAGTGACATGATAAGCATTTTTTTTTAATGTAACTATTTAGGTTTAATTTACATATAATTAAGCTCACCCATTTTAAATATTCATCTTTTAAAAATTTGTTTTTAATCAGAGGATGATTGCTTTAACAATGTGAATCAGCATAAGTATACATGTGTCCCTTCCTTTTTGAACCTCCCTTCCACTCCCCACCCCATCTCTCTAGGTCATCACAGAACATTTGTTTGTTGAGTTTTGACACATGTATATACCCTTGCAAACACTACTAAATCAAGATATGCAGTGTGTATTTATAGTTTAGTTGGTTTTTTGTTTTGTTGTACCATTCTGAGTTTTTTGTTTTTTTAAAAATTGTGGTAAGGTACATAATATAGGGGCTTTCCAGTGGTGAAGTGGTAAATAATCTGCCTGCCAGTGCAGGAGGTCCAAGAGAAGTGGGTTCAGTCTCTGGGGTGGGAACATCCCTGGAGAAGGAAATGGCAACCCACTACAGTATTCTTGCCTGGAAAATTCCACAGACAAAGAAGCCTGATGGGCTATACTTCTTGGGGTTGCAAAGAATTGTGCACGACTGAGCACACATACACACACATAATATGAAGTTTGCCATCTTAACCATTTTTAAGTGTACAGTTCAGCAGTGTTAAGTATATTCACTCTGTTGCAGCCAGTCTCCAGAATTCTTTGTGTCATGTAAAGCAGACTCTGTACCCAGTAAGCAACTGCTCTCCACTTCCCCTCCCCCAGCCCCTGACAATCACCTGTCTACTTTATGTCTTTATGAATTTGACTCTGGACACCTCATATAAATAGGATTCAACAGTATTTGTCCTTTTGTGACTGGCTTATTTCACTTAGCATAACAGCCTTAAGCCTTGTCTATGTTGTAGTCTACATCAGAATTTCCTTCCTTTTTAAGGCTAAATAATATTCCATTATTTGTAATACCATATTTTGTTCATCCATTCATCCTGAATATTCTTTTCTCTTTTTTTCTGGCCTTGCTGTGCAGTTGTGGGATCTCTATTCCTTGACCAGGGATTGAACCTGGGTGCCAACAGTGAAAGCCCAGAATTCTAACCATTAGGCTACTGGGGAACTCCCATCCTAAACATTCTTGATTGGTAAGCAAAGTAAAATTGAAAGCTGCTGGAAGAGACATTGTTGGTAGGCCTGCTCTCTTGCATAATGGTTGCTCAGTAAATATGTCTCTTGATAGTTTGCTCAGATGAAGAAGTTTTATGCCCTTTGGAGCTGGACTTCTGGTTTTTAATGGCTAGAATTTGGAGTGAAATTGAGTGTGAATTTCCTTCTGTGGTTAGATTCTATGTGTCAGATGACCCAAGTTCATGTAAGCTCTGAGAAAGAAATGTAACTCATATTGGGGTCTATCGGCTTTTATAATCTGCTTCCACTTTACCAAATAGGGCAGTTGGGCCTTGAGTGGGACAGCCCCTCTCCTTGGTTTCCAGGACTACAATTCAGGTCCCAGCTGCCATCAGGTCCTTGTCCTTATCTCTCTTAACTGCCTCTCCTCAGTGGGTCTGTGAATTTTCCTTTGGTGGTAGCACAGGGTATGGCAGGGATAGAATCCTTAAGTTCTCCCATGAGCCTGCCTAGAGAGCGCCATTTTAATGAAGTCATCAACAGTGCAAACTCTATACCACACATGCGTTAGACCCCATGGGCCAGTCCCCAACAAGGTTTCTTTGGTGCTCATTAGTCCTGGAGCCCTCCTGTGTTAGGTGAAGTAGAATGTCAGAGCCTGGAGATAACAGAATGAGGGTCTGCCTTCTCCTGCATTCTGGTGCACGGAGACTTGGCTTCCAGCACTGGCGTGGCAAGAAGTGGTTGAGCAGAGCACATTCAGCAAGGGTCTGTGTTGATCTGGGTAAAAGCCAAGCTGCTCTAAGAAGGACCAAAAACATAAAGGGCAAAACATAAAGGGAATTTTCTTTCTCACATAAAGCAGAGATAGGCAGGAGCCCAGGCCAGGTAGGTGGCCTTTTGCCATGGTGCTAGCTATGGACTTGGGGACTTGGGTTCCTTCTGTCTTATTGCTCTGACATCCCACTGGGTTTAATCTCACCTGTCTCATCCAAGCAGTCAAACCTGTACCTCAGTTCTGCTCTAACCCCTAGGAAGGGGAACAGGTGCTTTCATGGACACACCTAACTGCAAGAGGCCAGCCAGTTTCCCTGCACAGACCCAGGAGTGAGGGTGGAGGTGGGTAGAAGAGAAGGAAAGGATAGTTACTGGGGGAAGTTAGCCATTACTGTGACAGCCCCTGTTTAGGATGTTGTAGACTGGGTGTTCCCTTACATTTTATAAAATCAGAAGACTTCATGTAAGCCAGATGAATTTCTTCTTAACGAGAAGCCAGAAATTGACTGAGACAGATGGAAGGTGCCCAGAAACCTCAGATCCTAATTGTACATGTTGTTGCGTTTCTTTTCATTTGAGGGTTCAATTAGATGTTTTTCTTTCTGCTCACAGAAATATAAGCGCTCCAGCTGTGTCCCATATTCCAGAACCTTGTTCCTTCTGAATTCCCGTTGAGATCCTTCATCTTTGTAGCAGTGACTTTGTACTGGAATTAAAACCTGACTTCTCCAAGCAGGTCAGGAGAGAGCATCAGGATATCTTGTTAGTCATTATAGGTGGAAGAGATCATGGGAGATGGGCAGGTGGTCCCTGTCTCTGAACACCTGGATAGTCTCTGCTATCACAGGCTCAGTCTTCATTCTCAGAAAGTTTGCTCCTAAGCAACCTAGTGGATTCATTTTCAGAGGCAAACAGTAAAACTGGGTGTAACTTCAGAGCATCTGTTGTCATTTAAAAAGTAACAGGCATGAATGTGCATACCTTCTTCATGATCGACAGGGCTTACTGAGAAAGGCCAGGGTTATCAGTAGCTGGGGCTTCAGATCTTAGCCGGGAGGGTGAAAATAGGAGGGAGGAGGCAAAGATTTTTGCGATTTTCATGCAAGAATAGGTTCATACTGTGGCTTATGTGCTCCAGGTGAACAGATTTCAGATTACAGTAGACCTGAAAGTTAACAATGACTCCCATTTTCTCTGTTGCAGTTATGATTTCAGAGGCATGTCTGGGGTCCTGGGGTCCTGGTACAGACTGCAGTACCCTATTGGAGGTGGCCAGGGACCCACACTGCCACAGATCTTTCAGATCTGGTTTCCTCAGTGTGTATGCCCAAAAGTGGGATTGCTGGTGGTCTCCTCTCCTCCTTCAGTGGCTGGGAGTGGTACTGGGGATTGCTGGAGTGGGAGAGCTGAGTGAGCGTAGTTATAGCCCCTCATGAGCAGAATTTTAGGTTCTGTAAGCTCATTCCATGCTGTCGTAGTTATGACGTATTGCATTTCTATAGGAAGGCTTCAGGAAGGCATGTGTGTGTGTGTGTTGGTGGGGGGGGGACCTCTATGTGGGAGTTGCTGGTGAGTTCCTGCTGATGCGGTTTCAGTGATTCTCAGTTCAGACTGGTGAAGATAATGTATATAGTTATATCATGGCGTAATTCTTTATATGTGTGGAATTGTACCAATCATTACGAGATATTTAGGATTCATGAATTCAATGAACTGAGTACCAGAAGTCCATTTGTGCCAATCAGTAGTCATTGTGACAATCGGCAGGGTCCCCACGCGTTTCTGCACATCTGTGAACCAAACATGAGTAGCTCCTGTTTGTCTTCTCACCTGTTGCCTTACTTGGGGAGCCCGGTTTTTCTTCCTCTATCCTTTTTTCCTTTCCTTTCTTTCGTCATTTCATTTAACGATCAAAGGTTATAATGGAGTTCTGGGTGGTGAACAAAATGTTAAATGGTGAAGATTATCCAGAGTAGTGGCGTTTAAACTTCAAAAAACATACATCCCACAGTAAGAAATACATTTTTTTTTCATTTATTTTTATTAGTTGGAGGCTAATTACTTTACAACATTGTAGTGGTTTTTGTCATACATTGACATGAATCAGCCATGGATTTACATGTATTCCCCATCCCGATCCCCCCTCCTACCTCCCTCTCCACCTGATTCCTCTGGGTCTTCCCAGTGCACCAGGCCCGAGCACTTGTCTCATGCATCCAGCCTGGGCTGGTGATCTGTTTCACCCTAGATAATAAACATGTTTCAATGCTGTTCTCTCGAAACATCCCACCCTCGCCTTCTCCCACAGAGTCCAAAAGTCTGTTCTGTACATCTGTGTCTCTTTTTCTGTTTTGCGTATAGGGTTATTGTTACCATCTTTCTAAATTCCATATATATGCGTTAGTATACTGTATTGGTCTTTATCTTTCTGGCTTACTTCACTCTGTATAATGGACTCCAGTTTCATCCATCTCATTAGAACTGATTCAAATGAATTCTTTTTAATGGCTGAGTAATATTCCATGGTGTATATGTACCACAGCTTCCTCATCCATTCGTCTGCTGATGGGCATCTAGGTTGCTTCCATGTTCTGGCTATTATAAACAGTGCTGCGATGAACATTGGGGTGCACGTGTCTCTTTCAGATCTGGTTTCCTCAGTGTGTATGCCCAAAAGTGGGATTGCTGGGTCATATGGCAGTTCTATTTCCAGTTTTTTAAGAAATCTCCACACTGTTTTCCATAGTGGCTGTACTAGTTTGCATTCCCACCAACAGTGTAAGAGGGTTCCCTTTTCTCCACACCCTCTCCAGCATTTATTGCTTGTAGACTTTTGGATAGCAGCCATCCTGACTGGCATGTAATGGTACCTCCTTGTGGTTTTGATTTGCATTTCTCTGATAATGAGTGATGTTGAGCATCTTTTCATGTGTTTGTTAGCCATCTGTATGTCTTCTTTGGAGAAATGTCTGTTTAGTTCTTTGGCCCATTTTTTGATTGGGTCATTTATTTTTCTGAAATTGAGCTGCAGGAGTTGCTTGTATATTTTTGAGATCAATCCTTTGTCTGTTGCTTTGTTTGCTATTATTTTCTCCCAATCTGAGGGCTGTCTTTTCACCTTGCTTCTAGTTTCCTTTGTTGTGCAAAAGCTTTTAAGTTTCATTAGGTCCCATTTGTTTATTTTTGCTTTTATTTCCAATATTCTGGGAGGTGGGTCATAGAGGATCCTGCTGTGATTTATGTCGGACAGCGTTTTGCCTGTGTTCTCCTCTAGGAGTTTTATAGTTTCTGGTCTTCCATTTAGATCTTTAATCCATTTTGAGTTTATTTTTGTGTATGGTGTTAGAAAGTGTTCTAGTTTCATTCTTTTACAGGTGGTTGACCAGTTTTCCCAGCACCACTTGTTAAAGAGGTGGTCTTTTTTCCATTGTATATCCTTGCCTCCTTTGTCGAAGATAAGGCGTCCATAGGTTCGTGGATTTATCTCTGGGCTTTCTATTCTGTTCCATTGATCTATATTTCTGTCTTTGTGCCAGTACCATACTGTCTTGATGACTGTGGCTTTGTAGTATAGTCTGAAGTCAGGCAGGTTGATTCCTCTAGTTCCTTTCTTCTTTCTCAAGATTACTTTGCTATTTGAGGTTTTTTGTATTTCCATACAAATTGTGAAATTATTTGTTCTAGTTCTGTGAAAAATACCATTGGTAGCTTGATAGGGGTTGCATTGAATCTATAGATTGCTTTGGGTAGTATAGCCATTTTGACAATATTGATTCTTCCAATCCATGAACATGGTATATTTCTCCATCTGTTTGTGTCCTCTTTGATTTCTTTCATCAGTGTTTTATAGTTTTCTATGTATAGGTCTTTTGTTTCTTTAGGTAGATATACTCCTAAGTATTTTATTCTTTTTGTTGCCATGGTGAATGGTATTGTTTCCTTAATTTCTCTGTTTTCTCATTGTTAGTGTATAGGAATGCAAGGGATTTCTGTGTGTTAATTTTATATCCTGCAACTTTACTATATTCGTTGATTTGCTCTAAAAATTTTCTGGTAGAGTCTTTAGGGTTTTCTATGTAGAGGATCATGTCATCTGCAAACAGCGAGAGTTTCACTTCTTCTTTTCCTATCTGGATTCCTTTTACTTCTTTTTCTGCTCTGATTGCTGTGGCCAAAACTTCCAAAACTATGTTGAATAGTAGTGGTGAGAGTGGGCACCCTTGTCTTGTTCCTGATTTCAGGGGAAATGCTTTCAATTTTTCACCATTGAGGGTAATGCTTGCTGTGGGTTTGTCATATATAGCTTTTATTATGTTGAGGTATGTTCCTTCTATTCCTGCTTTCTGGAGAGTTTTTATCATAAATGGATGTTGAATTTTGTCAAAGGCTTTTTCTGCATCTATTGAGATAATCATATGGTTTTTTAAAATTTTTATTAGTTGGAGGCTAATTACTTTACAATATTGTAGTGTTTAATCATATGGTTTTTATCTTTCAATTTGTTAATGTGGTGTATTACATTGATTGATTTGTGGATATTAAAGAATCCTTGCATTCCTGGGATAAAGCCCACTTGGTCATGATGTATGATTTTTTTAATATGTTGTTGGATTCTGTTTGCTAGAATTTTGTTAAGGATTTTTGCATCTGTGTTCATCAGTGATGTTGGCCTGTAGTTTTCTTTTTTTGTGGCATCTTTGTCTGGTTTTGGAATTAGGGTGATGGTGGCCTCATAGAATGAGTTTGGAAGTTTACCTTCCTTTGCAATTTTCTGTAAGAGTTTGAGTAAGATAGGTGTTAGCTCTTCTCTAAATTTTTGGTAGAATTCAGCTGTGAAGCCATCTGGTCCTGGGCTTTTGTTTCCTGAAAGATTTCTGATTACAGTTTCGATTTCCTTGCTTGTGATGGGTCTGTTAAGATCTTCTATTTCTTTCTGGTTCAGTTTTGGAAAGTTATACTTTTCTAAGAATTTGTTCAAGAAATACATTTTTTATCACATGTATAAAGCATACTAAAATTTCACAAAACACCTCCTCTTAGAATGGTGCAGTCTAGTATTTTCTATTTTTTTCTTTTATACAAGTGGTTATGAGTCAGTAAATTAAAAGACCTCTTGTGTCAGATTTCAGACAGTGAATGATTATAGTCATACACAGAATTTTATGTACATATATACACATAGGCAGAGATTCTCAGAGGTGTCTGCTGGGCAGAAAGGGATCAGAGTCCTTCTTTAATAACAAATTATCCTCTTTGGAATGGGGAAAACAGAAGATTTTTGAAGAATGTTGAAAAACCTTGCTATTGGGACTTCCCTTGGTGGTACAGTGGCTAGAACTATGTGTTCCCTGTGCAGGGGGCCTGGTTTTGATTCCTGGTCAGGAAACTAGATCCTACATGCCGTGACTAAGAGTTCGCATGCCACAACTAAACGTCCTGCATGCTGCAACTAAAACCTGACATAGTCAAATAAATTTTTTTTTTTTAAGGAGGCTTCTCTGGTGGTCCTGTGGTTAAGAACCCACCTTGCAATGCAGGGGATTTGGGTTGATCCCTGGCCAGGGAACTAAGATCCCACATACCATGGGGCAACTAAGCCCATGCTCCACAACTAAAGAGATTGTGTGCCGCTACAGGAGATCCCAAGTGCCACAACTAAAACCTGACATAGCCAAACCAGTAAATAAATATTAAAAACAAAGCACTTTGTTATTAATGGCTTATGCCTTGATGACTTTTGGTTACCACCTCCCTCCTGGGTCATCAGTGAAAGTGTTAGTTGTTCAGTTGTGTCCGATTCTTTGCGACTGAATGGACTGTAGCCCACCAGGCTCCTCTGTCCTTGGAATTCTCTAGGCAAGAATACTGGAGTGGGTTGCCATTTCCTTTCCCAGGGGATCTTCCTGACTTAGGACTGGAGCCAGTTCTCCCTCATTGCAGGCAGACTCTTCACTGTCTGCACCACCAGGGAAGCATTCACTGGGTTTTTGTAATTGAATGCCATGCATGGCAGCGTTATCATGGCTGTTTATTCCTAGGTTAAGTTTATTTTTAGTAAGTCCCATTTGAAGAGCTCTTTACTGCCAACAAAATACTGGACTTCTGTTCAAATCAATTCACTTAAACTCAGTAGTTGCTGGCAGACAAAGGGTTAGCCAGTTTTGCAGAGGAGGAAATGGGAACGAGGCTGGCTGAGTGACTCGACTCAGCTGCACTGTGATCAGCGGCTGAGCTGAAATGCAGCCAGGTCCTCTGACTCCCAGTCCAGTCCTGCTCACTGTGAGTGATACAGCAGGAGCTTGCCTGGAAGTGGTCTCCTCGGAGGCTGTGAATCTACAGTACCTCTTGGTGGCTTGCTCCACTTGGCCCAGGTGGGAGGTCTTCCTCCTAGTGTAGGAAGCCCCTGCGATCGTCCCAGGGGTTAGGGTTAGAAGGGTTAGAGCCCTTTCAGTATTTTCCCTCCCAACAGAAGCCGGGGGCATCCTGACCTGCAGCTGTGGTGCCAGCCTTGGAAGCAGCATATGGCAGAGGGGCGGTCTTATTCCAAACACATCCGTGTCACTGAAGCCAAGAGCAAGGAGGAAGCCCCAAGCTATAGAACTTTGAACGGGGCAGTGGAGAAACCCCTGCCCCTGCCCCCCTCGGTGGAGGAGTCCTATATCACCAGCGAGCACTGCTACCAGAAGCCCCGCACCTACTACCCGGCTGTGGAACAGAAGCTAGTGGTGGAGACCCGGCGCTCTGCCCTCGACGACGCTGTCAGCCCCCGCCACGAGAACGGTGATGATTCCCTGTCTCCGCGCCTGGGCTGGCCTCTAGACCAAGACAGGAACAGAGGGGACAGTGACCCCAAACCCAGTTCCCCAAAGGTACTGGCTCACTTGTGCTTGTTCTTGTTTGAGAGCTTGTACCTTCTCCTCCCAGGGCTAAATGTTCAGTGGAAGATGTTTTTGATAGAGTTGTGTTTATTCTAAAATTGCATATAAATCTGTTTATCATAGTTCTTTTTTTTTGTCTTTTAAAATGAGTACAAAGTAAAAAAAAACCACTTAAACCCCAAATATCATTGGTTCTAGGAAATGTCGGCAATATGGCAGAGTCAGTGGTGGTGAGGGTGGAGAGGTCGGAGGCAGCCAGAAGAAAAGGGTAATTGACTGGAACTTAACAAATGAAAATGAGGTTTTTTTCCTTCAGTGCAATTTATCATTGCATCTGGGTGCTAATCCTTAGCAAGAGCAAAGAATGAGTCAAGTGTTTTGTCAGGAGTAAGTTTTTCGGTACAATTCTATGACAACTTTACTTTTAACTTTGCAGCCCTGGTGTAAGAACAGTCCATTTTGTCCAAATGTTTGCTGGTTTTATCAGTTTTCCCAAGAGATACTCGCAGGTTCTTTTTACTCAAGCCTTCTCTTCTGGAGCCCTGTGTGTTCTCTTGCCAGTGTTCCCTAGTCTCATTCTTCCCATCCTCAGTTGTCAGTGAGGGTTTGGGTGATGAGAGCTTTCCCACCCTTGTCATACTTACAGTCACAGACTCCACTGTGTGGGGTGATATCACCACCCTAAGTCCATCGCTGCCTCTCGCTGAGGGGGAGTAGCCTAGATTAGAAGCCCCTCAGTGGTGGGCATTATCCCTTGTTCAGCCTGTGTCCTTGCCAGGGTCTAAGCAGGACTGGGTAAGGCTGGTGAGGACACAGTCTTTGGAGGCAGACCCAGTTTCAAGTCTGGACTCTGCCACTTGCTGTGTGACTCTGAGCAGGTCCCTTCACCTCCGCAGAGGTGTCTCCTTACCCCCCTGCCAAGTGAAGCTGGTGACGGTGACCCCTCAGTTTACTGTGCAGCACACCTGTGGAAAGCGCTCAGCACGTGGCTCTGCACACAGTCACTCCTCCATAGATGTCAACTAGAACCTATTTCATTTCCAATCAGTGAATGAAGGGTTGTAGTCACAAACCCCAGAAAAGGTCTGTGGTCGTGCAAATTATGCAAATTGCCTAGAGGCACCTGAAACATGATGAAAAAAATCAAGAAGTCTTGGGCCTAAACAAGGCAGCTAGAGTTAAAAATCTCTTTCATGACTGGCAGATTGACCACAGGCCAGCACTGTGTTTTATTCACATTATCCTATTTGATCCTCGTAAACTTTGAAAGTAGGTTTTACTACTACTACTTTCCCATGAGGGAACAGAGGCCCAGGGAAGTGAAGTAACTCATCCAGGTGCATGCGTTCAGCAAGACATGGAACTAGGACTTAAAATTAGTTTGTCTACATATGAACACCCACATACTGACACTCGTCCACACTTGCCCTGCTCTACTCTGATCCCAGGTTTTGGGAAGTGGTTCTGTGAGGCCTGCTTCAGGCCTCAGGCATTGGGGCATTCATTGGGAAGCAGCTTGGGAGCCTCCGAGCCAGAGGTCTGCGGGCCCTGAGGTGGTTGTTATTGGTACAGCAGGCCTGCTTCTGCCCGGTGCCTGAAAGAGAAGGAGGGAGGCAGGAAGGTAGCAATTTGGACTTTCCGAACTGCAACTGGGTTCTCAAATGGCTGCCAACACTGGCTGGTTGGAAAAGGACTGGGAGCTGCTCCGTCCGGTAACTCTGATGCTCTTGCACCCCCAGGTGAGGGACTGTGTCTCCAAAAAGGTCCTGCCTGAGGCAGCCCCCGCCCGGAAGCTGCTGGACAGAGGGGGAGAGGGGGTGCTGAGCTCCCAGCACCAGTGGCAGTTTAACCTGCTGACGCACGTGGAATCCCTTCAGGACGAAGTCACGCACAGGATGGACTCCATCGAGAAGGAGCTGGATGGTACGGCTCCCTCCTGGGTTCCCCGTCCTTGGCAGACTCTGTGGGCCAGTAGGAGGAGCTGCTTTCTGAACCCTCTGATTTGGCTCTCCAGGGATAGCTGTGATCTTGCCTCCTCTTCTGTCAGTCCCCTCATCTCCATTCTCCCCTCAAGATGGCCAAGCTTGACTTTCAGTATCGACTGGGCACTTCTAAGAGCTGTGGGATGTCAGGGGTCCCACCTCACTTTCCCAGTCCCTTCTGCCCAGGAAAGAGTGCAGAGGAGCAGCTGGACTGCCGGTGGGCAGTGTGTGTTCTGAGCAGATCTTTACTGACCGAGTTCTGTGGGGAACTGATACTTGGACGCTTTGAGCTTTTAGGATGTCTGAGGATTAATCTGAAAACCCCTTTTATTTCAGCCTTTCCTAAAATCTAAAATGAAGCCTTCTCCTCTTTATCAGCAGATATTTTAGAACTTGACTGAGTCATTTATGTTGCCCCCAGATTTTAAGTTATCAGATGGGCTTGGAAGACTGAAATGTTGATTCCCCAGGGTGTTGTCAGTTTGGTTTTTGAAGACATACTTCCTTCTTTCTTGTTCTCTTATTTCCTAAGTATTATTATTATTTTTTCATCCTTAGAAAGAAGCCTGATTAAGAAATAAATGTTTCGTTTGAGGATTCTGAGGATAGCTAGGCTATTATTACTATAATTGGGGGTGGAATAACTCAGAAGAAAAATCCCATGTGTTATGTAAGCAAAGGTCACAGGGTGTGGGTGAGGTCAGGCTAGAGGAGGACAGCTCTCGAGGGGGGAAGCGAGAACAGGAAGGCTTCCTGGAGCTCCAGGGACTAAAGTGGAGCCTTGGAGAGAGCTGTGTTTCTTGCTACAGGAGGGGTGACTGAGGCAGGATGGTAAGAGGTGGCTGACTGGGAAAGGGATGGCCCTGTTGGAGGACAAAGACTAATGTGCCCTCACGCTTCCTGGCCTGCCCCAGAGGCAAACCTGCTGAACTGCGGATGGCAGGCCAGTCCAGGGTCCATTGTGAGGGTGTTGCTGAAAGCTAGTGTTTTTGTCTCTCTTCACTCCTAAAAGGTTTCCTTGAGCTCCTTAGAACTATAACAGATGCCAAGTCTATGGAAAACCTTGCTAGTAGAAAGCTGAAAGGGGATCCAATGATGGACTGAAAATTGTGGAATTGACTCTGGGTCCCTGAGAAGAAGCTCAGGCACCGTAGAAACAGGGCGAAGGTTCTGTTGTTGGCAAAGAATCCTGCCCCTAGGGGAGAGGTCAGAGCCTACCTACTTAATCACCGATGTACCCCTCCCGCCCAGCGTGGGCTGCTCCAGCCCTGAGCTCACTGAGTGGACAGTGTGGCCAGGCCAGGATGAGAAGCCTGAACTCCCTTCTCTGGGCTTTCAGAGGGCTCTTTATGTGTCTTACTCATTTGGAGCCATATACACTGTCTGTATTCTTATATTGCAGGCCCTGAGAAGTACTGGAATTAAGAAAATCAATTTGAAATTTAAAGATTTCATTCACGTAAACAGACTTTGTGTTGTATTTAATTAAGATTCTTCAAAATCCCATTTTATTTCTACTATCTTCATTTCATCTAAATACCTCAAGATAAACATCTTTTATAGGAATTTGTATATAATATTCCTTTTTAAAAATCTAATAAGCTGTTATATTGACTGGTTATACTTTAACAAATGTTATTGTTTGAGTATTTAACCATTATTTAATAACTTATGTAGTTGTGTGAACAGTCTTATAAAACTAAAAGATAAAGATATTTAATGACCATGAATGACACTGAATGACACTGAATATTTTAGCATTTTATATATATATATTTTTTAATGTTATCTTATCTAGATAGTCTCTATCTAGATGGTCTGGGGGAATGTATTTGAATGTATTTGAAATGAAACTTTATTCTTATAACCTTCTGCCTTGTTTGCAGTCATCATACCATTGAGCTTCCTTAAAAGAAAAACTTGGGGTTATGGTCCAGCACCTGGTGTGGAGAGAAGGCCGGCTGGCTAGATGCTGGGGTCCAGAGGAGGTGCTGTTGGCTCCCGCAGTTATGTGTCTGGTCTTCATTTCTGCAGATCTAGAGAGAAGACTTCCCCCTTAGTGGCTCCAAACACTAGTCCTAACCAAGTTCATAGACGATGAGTGGCCTAGACCATGGGTCCCCAACCTCTGGGCCTCAGACTGGTGGTACCTCCTATCAGATCGGGGCAGTATTAGATTTGAAATAGTGTGCAATAAGTGTAATGTGTTTGAATCATCCTGAAATCTGCCCCCCTCACCACCCCTGTCCATGGAAAAATTGTATTCCACCAAGCTGGTCCCTGGTGCCAAAAGTTTGGGGACCTCTGGGCTACACTCTTCTAGTCTGCACACTGATTGGTTCTTTCTCCCTGTGTATGCCTACTGGGTCACCAAGGTGTTGGGGGACATCTTAGGTGAGCCTGAACCGGATCTGAGGTAGTTCCAGTGGCTTTAGCAGGGGCCTCTCAGCAATTGTGAGCTTCCCAGGTGGTTCAGTGGTAAAGAACCTGCTTGCTAATATAGGAAGACATAAAAGACACAGGTTCTATCCCTGGGTTGGAAAGATTCCCCTGGAGGAGGGCACGGCAACCCATTCCAATATTCTTGCCTGGAAAATTCCCTGGACAGAGAAACCTGGTGGACCACAGTCCATGGGGTCTCAAAGAGTCAGATACAACACGAACTGAGTGCACACACACATGCTTAGCAATTGCGATGGCTTCTTTTGTTGTAGAGCATGGGTTCTAGGCTGCTGGGGTTTCAGTAGCTGCAGCACACGGGCTTGGTGTTGCGGCTCACAAGCTCTAGAACGCAGAGTCAGTAGTTGCGGCACCCAGCCTTAGTTGCCCTGTGGCATGTGGGATTTTCCTGCACCAGGGATGGAACTGGTATCCCCTGCACTGCACGGTGAATTCTCAATCGCTGGACCACCAGGGCAGCCCCATCGTATTATTTTTAATTACAAACCAAGATAAGTGCTCTAAAGGAGAGCCAGTGATAGCATAGCACCTGTGACTCAGGGACCGGATTCAGATTATAGAGTGGGGTAGGGTTCCCTGAGAAATAGCTTGCAGGGGACAAAGGGTTTAGAAAGGTGGGCAGGAAGATGAAGGACTGGTCTGAAGAGGGCAGAGGAGTGTGTGCAAGGCTGCAGACTGCTTGAGGAACAGGCCCTGCATGGTCTTCCTCTTTCTGCACCTCTGGCTTGAGGGTCCAGAAAGTTCTCAGTACAGGTTGGTGCACAAACTAGAAAGACTACAGGCAGGCTGGGGGTGGCTTTTGTTAAGGAATCAGGGTTCCTGGATGACCTCTCCCCAAATGCCAGAGCTTACGGGAGTGGCTTGGGAAAGAATAAATATCTTTCTATAGAAAAATCATGCTCACAGAAGCAAGACAGCTTTTTAGATATTGAGCTAATGATAATCAAGTTTGTTATTACCTGGTTGTGTTCAGTAGTGTCCAGCTCTTTGTGACCCCATGGACTGTAGCTCACCAGGATCCTCTGTCCATGGGATTTCCCACGCAAGCATAGTGGAGTCAGTTGCTATTTCCTCCTCCAGGTGATCTGCCTGACCCAAAGATCAAACCTGTATCTCCTTTGTCTCCTGCACTGGCAGGTGGATTCTTTACCACTGCACCACCCGGGAAGCTTATTACCTGGTCACCTTACATTAAATATTTAGGAAATGAAATCAGAGTATTTAGTGCTACTCATGCTAGGAATCAATATGAAACACATCAATTTATGGAGATAAAAATACACCTTTTCAAGTCTTGTTAGAGTCACTTTTCTTAACAGAAGGCTAACACACCAGGCTCTCTGATTTTCAGTATGGGAAAGCCTTTGAAGGTACTCTTGCCTGGAAAATCCCGTGGATGGAGAAGCTTATAGGCTACAGTCCATGGTAGGCTACAGTCTATGGTGGACTTGCAGTCTATGGGGTCGCAAAGAGTTGGACACGACCGAGCGACTTCACTTTCACTTTCATTATGAAGGTGGGGCAGTAACACTGAGAAAGGTGGGTATTTCAAAGCCTACTAGACTATAGACCAACGCAATAGTCATTAGCTATGTGTGGCTAATTAAAATGGAATAAAATTTAAACCCAGTTTCTCAGTTGCATTTGCCATGTTTTAAATGCTCAGTAGCTACATATGGGTAGTGGCGGTATTAGACAACACAGACATAGCCCATTTCCATCATCACAGAAACTTCTATTAGACAGCACTGCTCTGCAGCATTTAACTTTGTCTGAGGAGTAGTACTTCCCAGAGCGGGTGATGAGTCAGTGTTGCCTGAAATGGTCTCCCCTCCCTGCCACTCCCCCACCCCCGATTAGTGGTCAGATGAGATGAAGTGCTGACATTCTTGCAAATCAAGTGTTGGAAACTCACCAGGTCCTGTCTCTCTTCTGCCCACAGTGTTGGAGAGCTGGCTGGACTACACTGGGGAACTGGAGCCCCCAGAGCCTCTGGCCAGGCTTCCGCAGCTCAAGCATTGCATCAAGCAGCTGCTGACGGACCTGGGCAAGGTGCAGCAGATCGCGCTCTGCTGCTCAACATGAAACTGGGCACCCCAGACTAATGGGGGCACAATCCTGGGGCACCTGCAGGAGGAGCTTCACATATTTAAATAAATAAACCTAGCATGCCGAATGCACGTGACACCGACTGACTTCAGGGATCTGGGCAGGGGTGTGATGGACTTGAACAAAGAGGCCATTTTGGCTGCTGGAAGGGAGGGCACTCTGATCTCGAAGCCTACCAGGAAGGTAGCGGATAGACTCTTGGGATTCCCTTCTTCTGTGCACATTGTTGAATGGAGAGTGAGTCTTTTTGCACAAACTTCACTTGAAATCGTGCCACTGATGATAAATGGAATGAGAGCCAAAAAAGTGTAGTCGGAAACAGTTGTAAATTCAACTTGCAGCTTATTTAATTGACTTCTCTGTCAGGTTGGGGCATATGCCAAGCCTTCTGGGTTTCTGCCTGGCATGAATTTAGGCAGTAGGCATCATTTTCATTTTTCCAACTTCGTGGGAATATCGTGACTTCACCCTTGTGTGGAGGTTGGGAAGGAGTAGAGGCCTGGGCCGGCCTGCCTTCTCCCTAGAACTCTTCACTTTCTCACCACCTCTCTTGCATGACTTCATGGTACCGGGGTTCACCCCAGAATTGGCTGGGTTGTGTCTTTCATTGCAGAACCCATACAGCCTGTGGAAGAAGTAGAATCTCCCTGTCATAAGAATCTAGGAGGAATCCCAAACGGAAGCAGACAGGGTCTGGAACCCGAAGGACAGCATTTTCTACCCACTTCTTAATGTTGACAGCTTATCAGTTCTATTTAATGTCCCCAAAATGGTTCTCCCAAATTTGAACTCTTTCACTGTAAAGATTTGCTACAAAGATGTGGTTTGGGGGATGACCTTATTTTATATTGTTGTAGAGAAACCAGATTCTACATCTGCCGCTTTTCTCCTTCCCTGAAGGGTGTATGTTCAGTAGTCAGCATTTTCAGAATTGTTTTTAATATACTTAACACTTTAAATTTCCTGTTTGTATTATTTTGTGAGATCAAGGTGATTATGCTGCTTAAGGTCCAGGTACAATTTGTACCTTTGGAGACAATATTTGTTACTCTCGCAGGTTACGGTTCCACGTGTAATTGTTTTGTTTTTTCCTTACTAGATAAAGTTAAAGAAACTTCCATGCTTTGAGGAACGACCCATTTTACCATTTAGTTTTCCTATCACTAAAGGCAAAAATCGAAGCACAGCTGTCCATTAACACTCATGAGTTAATTCTGGGTTTATGGATCTATAATGTTATATGCTGCAAATCTTTACTATGTAAACGTGAAGTAGCCAATATCTCAATAGCAATGACAGGATCTCCGGTGACCTCCGGGATGGTTAGGCTTTACAGCACAGGTAATTGTGGTCACAAGGGCCTCTGTACCAAGATCTGTTTCAGGGAATGCTCTGTCTAGTGATTTAATTTGCCATTTGATATAAAATGAATATAGGGCAAGTTGACCTGCTGGAGCTTATCTATCAGAATACATGTGGCTACGACATCTGTGATAAAGCTGACACAATTCCTCTATGAGGTTGCTTCCCATTGCTAACGTTAGTACTTTTGGTGTGGGAAGAAACGCTCAAGGAGTGTGCATGGCATCTGTCTGTATTTTGTGTAATTTATCAGATGGCCACATTTTAAGAACTGTGTGATGCTTGTCCGCAAAGGGAAGAAACAGGATGATTTTCTGTAGCCACAACTGTGAGGTACAGTGACTTGTATTAATATTATTAAATTACTGATTTTTCTTTCCTGAAAACACATTTGACCATCACTTCTGGGGAAGCTGTTAACAGTGGTCAAATCTCACGTCTTTTTCAAGATGGAAGAAGAAACTGAGTTACCCTGACTTTACCAAGTGGTCATTATTGGGTTTATTTTATGCTTTTTGTAAAGGAAATAATCCCTTTTCATTGATTGTGACTTCTGTCCTTTGGGAAGCAGGGATGACTCCGAAGTTCTGATGACTTCAGTGTGCTTCCCTAATTTAAAGCCATGTTGAGGGGCTCCATCCCCAATTCCTTGGTCAAGTTGAATTAACCCCAAGCTGGAGCACTGGAAACTGTTCTTTGCAAAATTACTGTTACCATTTAGAAATATGTACACTACCTAAGTTTTCTTTTGAGAAAAACTATCCACCTATAAAAAAGAAAAATTGCCTTGATAAAAACAGTTCTGGTTTGACTAATCATTTTGTTTCTTTAAGTGATGAGTGTATGCAAGGTGGACCCTTGATGAGCCAACATTGCACTGTGGATACATATCTATGTTTACGCGCTGTTAGAACAGAAGGCGCTGTATATAGAAATGTTGCTTTGAAGCAATATTTGCAAAACATGCAAACTTCTGTATCTGTATTTGGAAAATTAAAACAGGTTTTTGTTGCTACGTTTTAGTCATTTGTTATCTGCTCAATCTTTAATGTGCATTAATTTTCCATAAACATTACCTTTTAAAGCAAGTCTGCTTTTACATTCTAAATAGATTTATCTTTGGCAGGGAGATAGCCACACATGCATGCTCAGTCATGTCCGACTCTTTGTGACCCTGTGGACTGTAGTCCACCAGGCTTCACTGTCTATGGGATTCTCCATGCAAAAATACTGGAGTGGGCTGCCATTTCCTCCTCCAAGAGATCGTCCCAGCCCAAGGATTGAACCTGGATCTCCTGCATTGGCAGGTGGATTCTTTACTACTGAGACACCTGGGAAGCCCTGTAGGGAGAAGATGCAGGCTTAAATCCAAAATTCCAAGGAAGTATACAAAATACTTTTGCATTCATTAAAGTGTCTAGTATTCAAAAGTAAAATGCCCCACACCACCCTCTAGTGCAGTTTGACTCATGCTTTGTGGTGTGAGCTGCAGGACTGTTACCTTTTTGCTTGTTGAAAGTAGTGCAGGGAAGACAGGTCTGGCCTTTCTTATATTAAAAAATGGCACCCATAACAATTAGGACCCTTCCGAAGGCCAAGCCAAACGACCTTGGACACCAATCAGCTCCTTTCTGGGTGTGCAGAAGACTCAAGAAATGGAGTTATACTGCAGAGCTTCCCTATTATTTGCCAAATCTCTTCTCTTCCTAAACAATTATGCTTATTTTAGAAAGTTATAAGTAGCTCCAACAATGTAAATAATCCATCAGTTCACACCAAATCTGTACCTTAAATCTTTCAAGAGGCCTAAAATTTGGTAAGAAAGGGGTCTAGAGGCTTAAACCAGAGTTCACAAGAACTAGCCTCTCTCGGTAAGGACCTGCAGTGAACACTTACTAAAACAGCCCTGTAACTTGGGCCTCTGGGGAAGACTGCGCCGACAAGGTAGGCTGATGGAGCAAGTTGAGGGCAGTATTGTAGCAGCAGCAGCAGCCAGTTAAATCAGCACTTAGTACAGCCACCAATCTGCCTGCACGACCCACAACCACATACAATAGTACCACTGTCCTCTGTCCGCTTAGGTAGGAAAACAAGCTCAAATTCTAGCCAATGAGAGGTACGGGAGAATATGGAACGAGGCTGCTGGAGTCCTCATTGCACAGGCTCCAACCAAACAAAGGAAACCCATGTGGGTTCCTGGGGAACGCGCAGGAAAAAAATTCCCAGATGTGGCGACCTATAGCCAACACATAATGATCCCACAAAAGCCAACGAAGGCCAAGTGAGTAACCACAAAAGCCAACGAAGGCCAAGTGAGTAAGAAACAAACGCTTTATTCTCATGGGCCCCCAACTTGGTTTCACAACTAGCCAGAGAGAGTGGAAATAGGTTCGGCAAACTAAACACCGGAAAGGACGAACGGAAAGAACACACGAGATTGCAAGAACCGCCAAAACTCATTTTTCATTATCGCGTATTGGGGAGCCAGGCTCACGATCCCGGACCCGATCATGGCTCCAGTCCAGAGAGTGCCTGACTCGGGTCGCCCGCAGCTCCGCCGTTCAGCCGGTGATGCGCGCGTCGGTGCGGCGGCGAAGCCGCCGGGCCCGCGCCGCCTCGGGCAGGATGGCGAGCAGCTGCTCCTGCACTAGCATCTCCACGATCTGCTCCTTTGTGCGGATGTCGGGCCGCAGCCACTGGCGGGAGAGCTCCCGAAGCTGTCGGAACGCCTCCCGTGGGCCTGCAGCGTCCTGGTAGCGGAACTGCCGAAATCGCTGGCGGAAAGTCTCTGGGCCGGGCCGGGAGCCGCCTGGACCTGGAGGGGAGCGCGGAGAGGCTTCGGCAAGCGGCGCAGGGGCCTGGGGTGCGGGTCCGACAGGCAGGTCTAGGGAGGCGGAGGCCGCCGCAGGAGGCGTAACATTCGCCTCGGGGACCGTGGCGCTGGAATTGGAGGAGTCGGGGATAGATAGTGGGGCTTCAGGAGTCGAGGAGGAGCCCGCAGGGTCACGCTCCGGACATGAGCTCGGGCCGGCTCCTTCTTCTTTCTCCGAGGGCGGCGCGGGGATTCCGGCCGGAGCCAAGCTTTGCTCCGTGGCCGCCATGACTCTGGCTCCGTGCGTCGCTCTTTGTCCAGCCGTTGTTGGCTCAGCTCTGCGTCTGCAAGGGGGCGGGGCAAAGGAGACTTTTCCCCTACTGGGCGGAGCGCGCGACCCTGAGGGAGGTGGGCGGAGGGCGCGCCGAGCTTGCCAGAGCCTGCGCAGCGCCTGGGGCGGCCGGAAGTGGGCGTGCCCGCTGGCTCCTCTATGATGAGCTCGGCGCACGAGAGTCCGGAAGCCGGATCTGGGCTCCCGGAAGCGGCACCCCCTGGCGTTCGCACGTCGGGTCTGCAGGTGGCGGCGCCTGAGGGGCTGCAGACCAATCTTAGCTCACCATGGCTGGCTCCGGATGGTGGCACCTCCGAGCACCTGTTCGAAGAGAAGTCGGAGGAGGAGGAGTCAGAGGAGGAATCGGAATCGGAGGGGGAGAAGTCAGAGGAGGAGGAGCTGGAGGAAGAGCCGGAGGAGGGGTCGGAGGAGGAGCAGGTGCCGAAGCCACCGCCCAAGCCGGAGGAGGAG